GATAACAGAAGCCTGCGAAATTAAAATACATCTCTAGTTTTTTCTAGCACGTCGAGATTTTTTTATTGGTGACATGTATATTTTAGAATTTCTAGCAATTTGCATGAAAACCCCATAAATAAATAAACAAAATAATCAGAAAAACGTATGTAACTTCGAAGTTAACGCTAAGAAAATTGATAACAGCCGGTTTCACTAGAAATTCCCATATAAAATTCAAAAAATTAAAATCATTTATCACTTAAATTGCTTTCGTGAAATTGGCTGTAAAAATTATTTTCTTAGCATTACTTTCTTCGCTGGTTATCGCAGATCGAACATCGAACGTGAAATTATGAGCTATGCAACCGTGTCGAAATTTTCGTTGAGTATCGAATTTTCTGTCGAATAGAATTTTGCTTTCGACGGTGTAGCGAAGTGTTAGAAAATTGTGACAAATTTATGATTTGCATTTGTTTTTTTACTTTATGGCGGCTTGACACTAATTTAAAAAAATTTTTATTAATTCGAAAGACTACACTTAAACCCTCTTAAACATTTTCTACTCTCATCTGACGAATCGTTGAACCAGAACTCCGTTGTACTCATTTTCACCACGTTTTTATAAACTCGCTTTCTTTTTTATTTCATTTTAATTTGCACAAATTTACATGCACACTATTTAGTTTGCTCGATTTGTAAACAAAACTTCTCAGCGGTGAAAAATATACTATTGTAAACAACCTAACCGAGCGAAATTCACAATAGTGCTATTCTTCATCGAATGAGCGTCATAATACCAAATGAAAATTCGTTCGATCAGCACTTTCGACCACAGTCGAATACAACTCATAATAGGGGCCTTACTTTTACATTTCTATGTGAGACTAGATTTTCAACAAATGCTTACATTTACATTTTTAAGCAAAAAAAAAAACAAAACCGATTTCAATTCCCTTCTAAGAATTTAGGATTATCGTTAATCTATTCATGATCCAATGATTGGATTTAAACCAAATTAGACACCCTGTCAGGTAACACCTTTCCTTTAAAAAAGAAGTATAGTAATCAGTTAACGTGTTCCAATGTTATGCGGTAACATACATAGAAAAAAAAATAATAAAAAAATATTCCGACGAATTGATAACCTTCTTTTTGTGAAGTCGGTTAAAAACAAATACACCAGCAAGCTTTCAGCGTCAAACGATTTCAGACTAAAATTGTCAAAGCTCCCAATAAAGTTAAAGGAAATAATGAAATCATCAAAACAATTTCAGTTCTCACATTAGAGGTGTCAAACTATCGATAGTCACACCATCGATAGTTTTGATAGTTTTCAGAAAAACTATCAATACTCACGATAGTCTCGAAAAAACAAAACTATCGATAGCACTATCGATAGCGCTATCGATAGTACTAAATCAATTAGGTTGATTTCTTTTTACAGGATCATAGTGAAAAAAATATTATCTTATAAAAGTTATAATCATTCAAAATTAAGTAAATGCTTAGCCAAAATACTTCTCTTTATAGAAAGTTCAAAAACAAACACAAGTTATACAAACAAAACAGGATTTACGATTAACATATGTTTGTATTTTGGCCTAAATGCGTGCATATTTGAATATGACGTCGGCATCACACTAAAACACTAAATTTTTAATTCAAATTAAAAAATTCAAATAATTTCAAAATTATTGGTAGAGATGATCGATAGTCCTACTAAACTATCGATATTTTTGATAGTATAAGAAAAAAACTATCAATGAGTATTGATAGTCTAAAAAAATTGAAACTATCGATACTATCGATAGTGCCATCGATAGTTTGACAACTCTACCTCACATTAAGGCTAAAGGAGCATAAAGTTTGCATTGTGTTTTCTTGGTTTCGTAGACATTTGAAGAGTAGGGGTGCCGTGAAATTTTTTTAGCACAACAAGGGTGCCGAGGTGAAAAAAGTTTGGGAACCACTGATCTATACAATTCGTTGCATAATTATAAATCCAGTACAAAAGTCTTCGCAACAGCCGTCACAATCAAGATAGGTAAACCCTTTCTTCTATGACTTTTGCATGGTAAAAGCTCTCTTAAAATAGAGTGGTTAATTTTTTCGTATTCATAACCTTATTTAAAAGAATTTAAAAAATCTAAAAATTACTTGTTGCAAAACTATAAATCCAAAAAAAAATCCCATTAAAATGAGTGACACATGCAAATATGCTCTATTTGTGCTCTATTGACTTTAATTAACTGAAATATATGCTTCCTCATACTTAGACATAATGTCTTCGGTAAAGCAGCATCCAGTTTATGCCACTCTTGCAAAATCGCCAATTCAAGCCATATAACGTTTGTAAATTGGCGATTATCAGCATGAACTTTCTTTGCCAGTATTCTCCACTCATTTTGCATTGGATTGAGGTCACGAGAGCACAAGGGTCCGAATATTGTTGGTTCAGTTAACAAGTAATTTTTAGCAAAAAAAAAACCGACTTCAACTCCCATATAAAAAAAAAATATATATATATATATCTCATGATCCACTGGTCGGATCTCAACCAGATTAGTATGGGACCACCTCTGAGACACTACCTTTCCGATGCAAAAAGTAATCGGTTGACGTAGTTCAAAGTTATGCGGTAACATACATAAAAAAAAAAATAATAATAATAATATTCCGACGAACTGATAACCTCCTCCTTTTTTGGAAGTCGGTTAATTAAAGTCAATGGAGCACAAATAGAGTATTCGAAGGACATATTTGCATGTTTTACTTATTTTATTGGGATTTCTTTTGTTGGATTTAAAGTTTTGCAACAAGTAATTTTTAGATTTTTTTATTGCTTTTAAATAAGGTTATGATTATAAAAAAATTAACCACTCTATTTTAGGAGAGCTTTTACCATGCAAAAGTCATAGAAGAAAGTTTTTACCTATCTGGAGTGTGACGGCTGTTTCGAAGACTTTTGTACTGGATTTATAATTATGCAGCGGAGTGTATAGTTTATCTCATTACATATGTCTAACTGAACGTTCTATCGAAGATTTTTGAAATAGGCGTAAAACCACCTCTGCTGACCACGTAGCGGTAGTTTTCGGAAAGGTGAAAAAACTATATTGAATACTTGCGCCGGGTATGTTTCATTCGATCACGGATGGCATGATTCGGGCCCAGTTTTATGTATACGTTTTTCTTGAATGTTTTAACAATTTATTCCAAGGCGAATTCATATAAGGTGGCAGCAGAAGTTCAAAAACAAACATGCCACTAACAAGTTTTACGCATAATGACAATAAGAATTACAACAAATACATGATTTTAACAACAAGAATCACCGAGGCGAAGATCCACCAGCTCTGATAAAACTACCTTATCTGAATTCAGCTTCATTTATCCTATATGAGTAAAAACTATCTAATATTTTTCTTTTAAAACATCTACCAACTTCCACAGATTTTTGTGTGTAAAATCTACCACTTTTAATTTTTTGGAAGTCCGTGCACTGTTACTGACTCACTGAAAACATGATTTACAATGAAACATGTTTTCTCAACTTTCGAGAGTGAAGAACAGCGTTGCCGAAAGCTTTCGCTGAAAAATCGTCAATTTACCCCAAAAAAATCGCCATTTCGTCCATTTGAGCAAACTGTATACCAAAAATGACGTTTGACCCTCCCAATTTTCAAAAGAAAAGGCAGTATGTATAATGCATGAAGTTTCCTTCAAAATTTTGTAAAAACAAAATTAATTTCGTTCCGAAAAATTACAAAACACTGATTTTTCTTTTAAAAATTGGCAGGGTCAAACGTCAATTTTGGTATATACTTAGTTTGTTCACAATTTTTTCTTATAATCGAACGTAAAGTTCCAATATGCCATACACTTTTTTCGAAATTAAATTACTCCGGCCTAATGACCATACATTACAAAACCAAAGGTAACCCATATTGCATACGGGTTACTAAAGGTTGATTTGTAATTGTAACCGACAATTTAGATTTACGATTTAAAACACAACTGCTTTTAAATTGTTGAACTTCACTGATGTGAAGTTTTTTAGGATTTTGATCCAGTTTTAAAGTGTAACAGGAGCATTTATTAACGATAGATAATCTTGACTGAACAAATTCCTGATATTTTTCTATCTCTTTGAAATGAGTGTCAGCAGTGCAAATTAATGATGTGGCTACAGTTCTAGAACAACGGTTGAATAAAAAAACTAGATATGTAAATGCATTCATTTAACAAATTCATTTTCATTTAACAAATATATCGTCGTTTAAAGTGCAAAACCGCGTATCAACAAAATGCAAAACCGCGTATCATAAAAATGCAAAACCGCGTATGTGAGATTGCGTCAATTATCTTCTAGAGTGTAAAAACACTAATATTTCAAAATGGTTATCTTTTTTATAAAGCAATCGAATTTCTGGCTAGTATATTTCAGGACGAATGGATAAGGATTGAGCCAAGAGCTTGTGTGAGCAAATCCAATTTTTGGCAGCCAATGTCAGTTACGCGGTTTTGCAGAATGACGATACGCGGTTTTGTACTTTAAATGACGATATGCACATACATATATGTATGTATGTATATGTACAACATACATATATAATTAAGTGGATAAAGTAAAAAAAAAACGTCATTACGGGTGGAAAATCGTCAAAACATCATTGACCTAAAAATACGTCAAAATGATGACGAAATCGTCAATTCGGCAACGCTCGTGAGGAAATAATCTAAACAATTTGTTATTGCAAAAAAAAATTACACTGCAATGAAGTACCATAATAGCTGATTTCCTGTCAATCAATCACAGGTTAGACAATGTGCATATTTTTGAGTTTTGATCTCCGGCTGAACCACTGTACACTGTGCGCCGGGCTTTTGCTTGTGATTTTATATCTCTGTAGTTACTTTGAGGTTAAAATCGTTTGTACTAAAAACGATGTGATAAATGGATAAAGGTGACTTTTTGTAAATTTTATACCTATTAGTGTTTTTAACTACAATAATAATTACATATGTATACGTATATTTATTTACAATGTAAGGAAGGACAAGTAAAATTTTACAAAAAAATTATCTTGAGAGTAATAAGTATAAAAACACACAGAACGTACATATATAGTACGAATGCACATAAATTCATATTTATATAGAACAAATCTCTTAAAACTTACATCTTATTTATGAATGTACATAGTTACATTTTTAAGACGTACAAAATATAAAAATTTACGCATATACATAACTTAATTTCGATGCATGCATTCATAAGGGCAAAGATTCGTGCAGCCACACACCGCTTCCGCCTTCTGCAAAATCAGCTGCAGTGTGATCCTGTCCCCGCAAAATCCACTTAGTCGTTAGAAGTCCCTCAACGCCTACTGGTCCACGTGCGTGTATTCTCGCCGTTGATATGCCAACCTCGGCACCTAATCCGAACCTGAACCCATCAGCGAAACGCGAGCTGGCGTTATGGAAAACACAAGCACTGTCAACTGATGTCAGGAACTGTTCTGCGGCAGAATCTGTGAAAATAATAAAATGATTTCCCACAAGACTTTAGAGTAGTATGTATAGTGAAATGTGAAAAATGTCCATGTGGTCTGTTGACTAAAAGATGTGTCCTTTTATGATTCTATTTTGCATCGAATGCATGCATAATCAATGCATACGTAACATACAAGGATTGGTACACCGACACGTGTGTATAACTGCTATGTACGTACATACCCTGCAGCGGAAACTACTAGTACAGAACTAGTGAATTCACCAGTTTTCGGGAGTCGAATACCGGTACCTCGCAAATCTACAACCCATGCTTTCTACTGTCGCATTTAACATGGAGTTGTCCTAGGAAGTGACACTTGACTTCCGCTGCGTAACTTGTTGCCTGTAAAGTACCATTTCTTTTCGTTGTGGACTTCATAGATACTTTTTAATAATTAAAAAAAAAAACGAAAATAAAAATTTTAAATTATATGTTCTGCCCAATGAGATTTGAACCTGAACACTTTTGGCCGTAACTACCCTGCAAAAAATGCGACTAATCCGGAATGACTTCGGGAGCAATCGCAAAGAAACATGCGACTAATACCACTTTTGATCTCTTTATATGGAATGAACTGTTCGGTCGGTCCCTGTAAAAAATGCGACTAATCCGGGATGACTCCGGGAGCAATCGCAAAGGAACATGCGACTAATACCACTTTTGATCTCTTTAAATGGAATGAACTGTTCCCTTTTGTTCGAGCATGTCCTATGAAGGGACTAATTGTTCCCCTAGTCCCATAGTAACTAGATCCCCACCAGTCCAAAATCGGCGAAAAGTGGTATTTTTAAAAAAATAATTTTTTCAGTAGAAATCTGACGAATTTAGAACTGGTTCCGAACTATAGAAAAAGGGATGCAGAACGAACTAGATCTTATCTGTCGAATTTAGAACTAGTTCGGATTATCCCTTGGGGAAAATCTCTAGTTATGAACTGGTGCGCTTCTAGTACATTTAGACCCAGTAGTGGTTCGCGATAAATCTCTTTTGCATGCAAACAACTGGCGAATTTAATATGGAGATCTCCTAGTAAGTTTCAATTGCCTCCCACTGCATCCCTTTTTCGATAGTTCTGAACTCGTCCTAAATTCTACAGTTCCGAACCAGTTCTAAAATCGACAGACGAAAGAAAAAAGTATCATGATTTTTCAATCTTCCGTGGTTCTTCCGTGTGTGTGAAATTTGCAGAGATGCTCGCTGTTATTGGTTAGATTCCAGACGGTCCCAAGATATTAAAAT